TGTCTGAGAGATTTGTGGGTGGGGAGGGGGTGAACGGGAACGGGTCGAGACTTGGTGGAATGAAGTATTGGGGTGGGTTTGGATAGGGAGGGGCTAGATCTGATAAGAGGTGGAAGATGAAGCAGGCTGGTTGGGGAGATCTGACCGTACTTCCCAGGACTGACACTCCCCCCACTACTAGCTTGACATGTTGGTGGAGGGCTGGAGATAATGGGCAGTGTAGGGTTTTCTTTCTTTTTTTTTTTTTTTCTTTTTAAAAATGGGGAGGCCTAGATCTGCCTGCTGCTATCAGTGTGTGTGGGTTGGAGAACGAAGAGGGCCAGCAAGGACACTGCAGAGAAATAGTATTTCCATGGACTGGATGTGAAGCGTGACATTTGTCATCAGCCCCTCTCCACTGCTGCCCCTTTTCACCCACTTACTTTAACAAAAAAAAAAAAAAGAAACATGTGCTGGGATTGAGTGCCCCAGTCTCTGCTCTGTGGCTGGCACAATGAAATATGGACCTCTACACTGTACTGCCCCCTGGTGGACCACTGGTGCACATGCTCGCACATTCATCTCCCTGTTATGCTCTGAGACTAAAGCACAACAGACTGAGCATCATTTCATTGAAGCGCTATTGGTACGGTTTGTGCTGATACGGCTGACTGAAGGACAAGTGGTCAGCACTGGGAAATTTGTGTATTTTTATTAGTTTTTGTTTTTTGTTATGAGCCTCAGTGAAAACTTGAGGCTAGTTTATAATGTATGTGGGGGGGAGGAGGGGGGGGGGATGGTGCATTGCATTGCAGGGGTGTTCCACTGTATCTCACTGGGGATGCCGTAAACCCCTTTGTTCCACCTTGCATTAACTTGTACACTACATATACTCCTGCACTACTTTACATATTTGAGGGCTTTCCTAGGGGGGAAAACAAACTGTTCAAGCGCCAAAGCTGATTCTTGGATTGTTAACATGGTTTGGCCATTTAGAATTTAATGCCCAGAAGAGTGTTAGTGGTTGCATTTTCTGTTTCATCATCTGCAGGTCAATAGCTGATTTAAAAAAAAAAAATGGGTATGTAGATTCCGTTACAAGGGAGCCCCTTATTTTGAAAAATATTTCAAGCAAGTAGTGTTTTTCTGTTCATCTTTATGTGCCACCCCTGCCCCCCCTCAGCAAACATGAGCATGCACAGACATGCATGCAGCAAGCATACCTACATGCAGCAACATGTTAATTATCGTTTTTATTACTTTTAATTTATCTGGACGGGTTCGAACACTGTGCACTGAATTGTTTTAATTCCCTCGTCCTGATCTTAGTTGTTTAGTGGGAGAGAGGATATGAGAGGGCTGGAAGCTTTGTGTATTAAAGAATTATCTTTAAGAAAATAAACATGAATGGGCAAATGGTTGGGCTGACCATCTCTTCACTGTAAAAATGGAAAAGTTAAAGTTATTGTTAAAATAAAATATTTCAACTGCCATGTTTTGTTACTCAATGGGCTGATTCATTACCCATTGTTCACATTTAACGAATTAATTGGAGAGCCGAAGGACAAGAATTGCACAGAAGTCATGAATTCTAATGCTTTCTGGGGCGGATTAAAGCTACGTAAAGAGACAGGTAATCTCGAGCCACCACAAGTGGACGCCACAGCACTCCACTTTAGTATTAAAGAGACTAGCTAATTTTTTAAAATTAATTTTAAATTCATTGAAACTTCCATAAGCCATAGATGCAACTTTCTGCACAAATGTCAAAACGTAGCCAAATTTATGAATTGCGTTATAAATATAAAAATGCCATAGAGATCTTCCGAAGCCGATTAAACTAATTGTCGGCGTTATATAAACGAGATTCGGTCGTTTAATATGTAAACAAGTGGAATGAATGACCTTTTGTCCCGCGTCGTCATGGTGATCAGAGCGCTGGTGCTTTAGACTGGCAGCCGCCGCTGAATCTGATTGGTCGAGTCGGCGAGAAGTTGTCACTAAGTTTTAGGAGCATCAGTCTCCGTACCGTGTTGATTTTCGTGCTCCCCACTTTCGTCCCTCCGATAATACATAAAACTGCCAAAAAAAAGCGGGAGTAGATAGACTACGTATTTCGCAATTATTTCTGCATATGATTAGCGAATTATATATATTTGGTTATAGGCTTCAACGCACAAGCTTCAAGGTTATTAAGTCATTAAGACCAAATAGACTAAATAGGCTTATAGCTTCCGTAACACCAAACAGTTCTAGCTGAGGTTTTAATAATTTGGCTCTAAATAAGTTTAACATTATACATATTTGTAGTGGTATATGACAGCCGAGTATAACCAAACACTACGAAATTCGTTCAGTATAAATGTAGGCTTATTTTAATGCTAAGGGAATATGTTTTTCAAGTTAATGCCGACAGAAACCGAGGAAATCTATTAAGACTGACCATCAGCATGGTAGTGTATTTGGGGTGGGCACTGCACCACATTTTTCACTTAGAGCCAAATTTACCGAGAAAAAACTGAAATTTCAAAACTCTCTTTTTTTGTAAAACACCCTGGGATCTACCTACATTGATTTAGGTTAGATAAAACTAAATATCAGTAACCGAATTCATGTATTTGGTAAGTGTTGGTAAGTGATTTTAATGTTTTCCCGTATGTTTTCGTTCTGCTAAGGTGTTTTTTGCAGCTTTTATTATTTGGAAATCGGTGGAATGAGAGGAATTTCATATACAGTGATGGAGCGCTTTCATTGAGCCACGTGACTGCATTTTCCGCATGCCTTCTTTCTGAAGGTACCGCCATCCCCACTTCCGTACCTTCAGTCTGCTCGGTGGTGTTACGGTCCGGTGCTTAAGCGCAATGACCTGACGGTGGATGGCGTGCTCTGCCGCAAACGGCCTGGCGCCTGGACATGCGCTGGCCGGACTGCTGCGCTCAGAAGTCGCGTTGGAGCTCCTGACTCCTGACAAGGAACAACTGGTGGAAGAACTTCTGCGGGCTCCCAATACGGATAAGTACATCAGGGTGCTGGGAGAGTCACTCAGATCTCCAGATTAAAGGTAAGGCAGTGATCAAGAGGTGAGTACCTCTAATTCTCAGGAATATTAACACGATAATTAACATGAATAAGCTGAACTGTAAGAATAAGTTCAATGTAACCTTATTTCTGCAATTCTGAAATGGGAATATGTGTCCTTATGCTCTTTGCATATTAAGATTTCCATGCTCTGATTGTTAAGGACTTTGATAAGTGCAAAGTCATATTAATGAAATGTCAAATTTTAATATCAGAGGTCACCCTTACTATCCACCCCCACTATGCTTGCCAAATTTAAGGATTCTGCAAACTTAAAGCAAAACTAGCACGTATGCTTGCAGTATTTTTCCATCTGAGAATGAGAATTTATTATTTTTATAATGGTTTGAAGTATGTTTTTTTTTAACATGATGATATTGAAAAGTTATATACCAATATAAAATCACAAAATCTATGATTCATACTTATTGTGTTACTGTGTGTAAACTGCCACTTAAATTTTGAGAATAACAGTGTTATTGTCCAAGACTGCTATATTGACTCACTACGGCAGACCATTTTTTTGCCAAAAAAAAAAGCAACCCTGATAAATGGACGTAACTGAATGTTAAACATCGGGGGTGATGAACTGGTTACTACTATGCACACAGATAATAATGGAATCACCCACACATATGATATGCTGCAAGTCATGCACTCGACCCCACAACGGGATCCTACAGTGACTGGAGTATGCATGAAATGCCATGTTGTAATTATACTTTGTTATTGGGGGGGGGATGATCATTCAATAGGGGAGAGCATGTTTATCCATCTCCACAGCAACAGACTCTAGACTCTGAACTCTGGACGGTGGGTGTGCTTGCGGCAGCCGTCCTGGGAGACTGTTAGCGGTGACATTTGTCACCATTATTAGCGCTGCCAATGGAATTTGATTTAAAGTTCACACCTGATGTTTTCGAACTTTACAAGGTTTTGAGTTGAAAACCATTTAACCAATTCCTACTAATGGAGTTCCAAATGAGTGGTTATGGCACAATAGCTGGTTGGGTAACACGGATCTACAAATAAAAACTTAGTACCCGTGACAGTGATTCTGAGCTCTGGTGTGCTGTGTCCAGTTAGTGATTGCATTGTAATGTGCTTGACAGTGATGCTGGTTTGACCTGTACTTTGTCAGCAGCAGTTAGTGTGGACACATTGTGAACTTCAAAGGCAATGTTAACCTGTCAGGCTGTAAATGCTGTGCTTTTACAAAAGTGACGTACAATTGAGGAGGGGTCAGAAAAGCCCCTAGAGGAACTGGGGGTTAAGGGCCAACAGAGAAATCACTCTGCCAAGCCTGAGATTCAACCTGGGACTTTTGGATCACAGGCCCAGCTTCCTTAGCCACACACCAACCTCAGCCTCAACTGTTAGCAGCCACAGGCTGCTCTCCAACTATCTGAGGATTATTATTTGAATGCTCAACAGCTGGTTATCTAGGTTAAGATTAAGTACCTTTCTCAACAGTAAAACAGCAGTGGCTTTTCTCAGCTCGAAAGTTACTCTGTACTATGTTATCTTATCAATATGGTTACACCAGGACTCTAGTTGTATGCATAGTTATCATTTAAAAATTGAATTTGTTCTACTTGAGCTTTGTAGTTGCTTTTTAAGGAAATTACATAATAATATCCATTAAATCCACAGTAAGCTTGGAGCCAGAAGCATACGGCATAGGTATTTAATAATGTGGGTTTTTTTTGTCAGGAAGTGCAATGCTGCTTCTGCCCTCTTGGAGGTGCTGTTGGAAAGAGAGGACATTGTGCAGAAACTCAAAGAAGGGACTCAGGGACGCAGCGATGGGCTGGTGGGAGCCTTGGGGAGGCTGCTCATCAAAGACAGCCTGGATACTGTAACAAATGCTGCTGGAGCCATAGCATCTTTGGTAACTCAGCTAAGCACATCACAGAATCAGCTGAAATCGATTAAGTAAAGTCAAATGGTCTTGGTCCCACCTCATCTAATTGTTTGTACCCACCTCCTCTAAAATCTGTATGGTTACCTCTCTGAATCAGTCATTTTTCCATGTGCACTCAGAACATTATTGTGTAAGTAAAACTCCCACGAACAGGAGCACAGCAAGATACAAAGAGGAAATAACAGAGGGAGGGTTTTCACAATACTTCACAATACTTAACAGTACTTCACAGTACTCAAAGCACAAGACAGTGCAAAGCACAAGGGCTGGACAAAATGGTTTTATTGCAGTTGTGTATAGTACCAGTCAAAAGTCTGGACACACCTGAAAATTATTTGGTTTTCAACATAACGACCCTGAGCACAATGTGTGGGTATGTACTAAGTATTATCGTGTGAACAAGAAAAGAGACAGAGTGCTGTGACAGATGACCTGGCCCCCACAATCCCCCTGACCTAAACCCTACAGAGCTGGTTTGGGATGACTTGGACTGAAGAGTAAGAGGAAGATAGCTGACTTATGCCCAGAACTTGTGGAGATTCCTTGAGGACTGTTGGAGAAGCATTCCAGGTGGCTACTAGTCCTTTTGCCTTGTCACATCCGATAAAAACTCGAGTCGGATGTGTTCCATTTGCCACAAAAGTAGCAATACCATGGACCCATATGAAAAAGCAAGATTTTTTGCTTAGCCGGACAACATGTCGGATTTAAGGTACCTCAGTTTAAATGGCCTTTATCTTTGTTCACTTACAATTAGCCTGAACTGAATTGGGTATTCATTTGACATAGTCAGCCAATCAGCAATATGCCAGTGACACTAATGACCTTTAGCACCAGAATTGTAATAACTGTTATTAATAATAGCATTTGTTTTGATGTTACATTTGTTTAGCAGGCTGTTTTATCTAGAGCGACATACAATTGATATTTTCAAATGTATGTGCGTTTAGAAGTGGCAGCTCCGACAAATAATCCGACTAATCATGAAATCCAATTCTAGCCCGGTTAATTGGTAGCCATTGTTAGCAATGTCAGTTGATAACACATTACGTGCGGTGCTTCACGTATAAAACCCCGTAGCAACACGTCCACAGATAAGTTGGACGGTATAGTGTGTGCGACCGATTTAATGAGCCACAAATGAGAAGTAGTGCTTAAACAGTATAAGACTACAACTTTCCCTTCTGTTAATAAAGGGTGCAGCCATCTTGGATTCTGAACTCGGGATCCTCTGTGCTGTCCGAGAAATTTCTCGGATCTCTGAGAAACGGGAGCGCGCATGTCGTCACTTCCGGCTTCAAAACTCGGAATCCGACTCGGAATCCGAGTTCCGAGGGCAAAGGGAATGCACCTTCTGGAAGCTGGTGGAAAGGATGCCAGGCGTCTGCAGTGCTGCCACTGAAGTAAAGGGGGCTATTTAGAAAAGTCTGAAATCTGAGAACATTTTGAGACGTATGTTTCTCTTGGTTGTTGCAGTACTTGATATGTATCGATTGACTGCCTTGAGGCCCTTTACTGTACAGAGAATAACATACTTAAAATAGGGACCAATGCATTAAAAGCAGGTGTGTTCAGACTTTTGACTGATACTGTATGTTCAGTGTTGGGGAAGTTTCTCACAGAAGTAATACATTACAGGTAGAGGTAGAAAGTTCAGGTACAGAAAGTTTAAATCCAGACCATGATTTTGTTTCAACCAACCGGTCGAGTATAGAGTCACAGTCACAGAGTACTCAACTGGTTGGTTGAAACAAAACCGTGGTATGGATTTGTACTTTCTGGACCTGAAGTTTCCACCTATGTTTGGAATGGATTACTTTGGTGAGTAACTTCCCCAACACCGTGCATGTTAATAAGCACAGCAGCCTTAGATGGGTGGGATAAATTAAATCAATTAAATGCAGCTTAGGTCACTAAACACCATAACGGTGTAAAAGCAGCTGATTTCAGACTCTAAAGGTCTTCAACCCAGAGGGTCAGTATTTATGAGCAAGGGGGTGTCTCAACGGGACAGGCGGGGAGTTCTGCGGGACGGGAGCTGCTGCAGCGGGATGACGGCGTGCTCTGCCATGTGCTGCGGGGCTTGGTCAGACTGCACGGGCAGGGGGAAGACGGTGCCATGAACTGGGCTCTGGCCCTGGCCCGCCTGTCCCTGAGCGAGGTCACCTGCCGCACGCTGCTCAGCCTGCCCTCCGCCCCCTGCACACTGAGGAGGCTGGCGGCCTGCCTGGCACAGAGTCACACAGGTGGGCCTGCCGTGCCTCGCCGAAGGCTCACTTTCCCACAATGCCTCTGTCGCGGGATCCCAGTTTGAGAACGCCTCCGAGTGCTGGGAGCCGTTCGTTTTCAGCGAAGGATGCAACATGTACAGAATTAAGTACATTTGAAATAAATGACATGATTTGGATGACTGGTGACTATCTGGATGTCTCCATGTTGATGTTTCCAAAACCCAGAATTCTCTGTTTTCCCACCTTTCTCAAAGGCTTCTGGGAACACTCGGTTCTCGCTTCATCATACGATTCGTGGGAAATATTCAGCTTGTCTAAATATTGGCTCAGATGGCTGACTGTAAGTAGCCAGTCATAGCTATCTCACTTAGTAAGATGTAGTGTAACCATGTTGTGGTAGCTTATCCAACTATCAGTGCGGCTAAACGCTATTGCTGTGAACACAAAATAAAAACTGCTTGGAGAACTGGCTCACTGATGGACTATGACCTCAGTTTACACCTTGCTTTAAAGAAAGCTCATATTCTGGAATATCAGTATGCTGAGGGGGTTGGACATCCAGTCGACCTTTGACCCCTAGAGGTCCTCACTCAGGAGTTTCTGGTTGGTTCTCCACTACTGTCTACTAGCATGCATTTTTCTTTCTTTCTCTCTTGCTCCCCCCCACACTCCCTTCCTGTTTCATGCCTCTTGTTATTTGCGAAGAAGGCGTTACTTGAAATCAAAATGAATTGAACTGAGTCTAGTGCTGCCTGTCTGTCTGTTGCCATGTGATTTCTAGCTGTGTCTTTGTTCAGAGACGTGTTTAGAGCTCTGTCGCTCCAGTGGGCCCAGCGCAGCTCAGCATGTTCCGGTCCGATCGCGCCACCAGGTCAGCGGCCTGCAGGCCCTGCTGTGTGCGGGAAGCGGGCCTGCAGCGGCACAGACGGCCTGCTTCGCACTCAGCTGCCTGGCGGCGGAAGAAGCCGGGCATGCTCTGGTGCTCGGGAGCCCCGCCTCCCCCCCCCTGCTGGATGGCCTGCGCTCCTGCCTGCTGGAGGAAGAACCTGACGGCGCCTGGTTCGCGGCCGTGTGAGTCAGTCCCTCCGTCTGTCGGTCTGTCTGTCTGTCCCTCCACCTGATGGCGTGCATTCTTCCAGCCAGCAGATGTAGACCCTCCACAGGTACCACAAAAAACTGCTAAAATCATTTTGTATACCAGGGGCCCTGAAATGCATGGGGTTTCTCGGGCTGAAGCCCAGGGGCCTCTGACCATGTTAAACTGCCTCTGCCTTTTACTCTCAGTATCAGACATGTTTGATGTTTAAAGTCGCTCGTTCATTCACTTCTCATTATATTATCCTGCAATGACGGTCACAGGGCAGTGAGGGCGCT